TGGTTGAGGCCCCGGGGGCCTCGGGATGATTTCGGGTGGTTAATGGGGAAATTTTCTAAGTTGTTGCAGCTGGTATGTTTCCCTTCTGGTATTTTCGCTTCTGCGGTTTGGGAACCGCAGAAGCGGCTTCCTCATCACAGAAGCGATTTTTGGCTTCCCCTCAGAGACCGCAGAAGCGGAACCGCTGGAGCGGTCATGTGTCCGCAAAAGTGGAATTTCCCCCTTTAATGAGAAACCGCAGAAGCGGTTATTTTTCCGTTTAAGCGGGACCGCAGAAGCGGTCCCTTGTCCGCAGAAGCGGAAAGGGCAGAAATAGGAAATTTTGAGGGTTTAATTTCATAAGTTTGAAAATCAATTTTGAGCTCGGACAAGGGCGATTCTGAGAGGATTTTGGAGAGGAGATTATTGGGTAACATTTCTATGATCCTTTCTAATTATATTCTATCATTTAGTAGTTAAATCCACCTTTTAAATTCGAATTAAGGAGCAAAAATGGAAGAATTTGGGGGAAAGTTCATTGACTAAACTATTGGGTTTTGAGGGAGCATTCAACCTTCGATTTCTGAGATTTTTATATGGTTAGACTCGTGAGAGTACGAGGTTTCTGAAAATTTGAAAATTATTCGATTTCGAGACGATGTCCTGAGGGGCATTTTGGTCATTTCACATATTTTCGCGCCTTAGCTTTAATTTCAATAGTGGAATCAGTTGTTTGCAGTATTATTTACGATTTGTAATTTAATTGACTAGATTTGGGCCATTGGGAGTCGGATACTCGTGGCAAGGGCATCGTTCCCTAGTTGACTTCGCACCGGTTCGAGGTAAGTGGCTTGCCTAACCTTGTGTGGGGGACTTCGTCCCTTAGGATGTGATAATTGGTAATTGAATGCCTTGTACGTGAGGTGACGAGCGCGTACTTGAGCAAATTGTTGAAACCCGGATTTTTACTTAAATACTTGATTTGGATTCTCTTTCATATTTGCCTTACTTTACTTGCTTTTATAGCCTGTGCTAGCGTAGAAAAGCATGTTTAATTGATCCAAGCTGCCTATTTGTTTAAATTGTCTTAACTGTGATTACGTGGAGCATGTTAGGCCAGTATTATTTGATGCCTTGTATTGTTGTACTTAAATTTCTGAATAATTCGTTGATGTTGGTTGCGCATTTATATTGGGACTACGGATGCGGATTACGGGAGTTCCCCCTTGATTGTTTACTTTGGGACTATGGGTTTGATTCCCGGGAGATCCCCCTGTACTTTTATTTTGGGACTACGGGACGGTATCCCGGGAGATCCCCCTGTACTTTTATTTTGGGACTACGGGACGGTATCTCGGGAGATCCCCCTGCACTTTTATTTTGGGACTACGAGACGGTATCCCGGGAGATCCCCCTGCATACTGATGATTGGATTACGGGACGGTATCCCGGGAGATCTTTTGATATTGATATGAGATTTGGACTACGGGACGGTATCCCGGAAGTTCCATTGGACAGTTGAGAAAAGGGCTACAGGACGGTATCCTGGGAGACCCTCGTCGGTATTCTTGTAATTTTGCTGTATTTACTCTGTGTTTCTGTTTTGTCTTGCAGTACTATATTTCATTGATCTGTCTTATCACATCGCTGTGTTCATTTGTTTTCTTCAGATTTCGATACTGTTAATATCTCGCTATTTTATTGTTTCTGTCTCAGTAGGGCCCTGACCTTTTCCTCGTCACTACCCAACCGAGGTTAGGCTTGGCACTTACTGAGTACCGCTGTGGTGTACTCACGCCTCTTCTACGCATGTTTTTCATGTGTAGATCCAGGTGTTTCTGAGCAGGCGTACCGTCAGTAGCTGTCAGGGGGCGTATTGGGGACTTGAGGTATATATCTGCTACGTCCGCAGATCCGCAAAGTCTCCTTCTCATTTTATCCATAGTTGTTAGATGTTATTTCGATCCCTCTTTGTATTAGACTATTCTGGTGACTAGAGCAGTGTGAGATTTCTTATAGCCTGTGTTGCCCATGAGTTTCCGAGTCTTGGAGGTTATTTCAGTATTTTGTATTAAAGTGTATGTGACAGGCGGCAACTGTATACATTACTCATGTTATTTAGCTTCGAATGTAAATTTCGCAAATGTTGTTACTTCCGCAATGTGTTTAGGCTTACCTAGTCGTGAAGACTAGGTGCCGTCATGACGTGTTCACAATTGGTGAACTAGGGTCGTGACAAGTTGGTATCAGATCTCTAGGTTCATAGGAGTCACGGAGCACAGGCCAGTTTATTAGAGTCTCCCTGATCGGTACGGAGACGTCTGTACTTATCTACGAGAGGCTATGTAACTGTTTAGGAAAAATCTTCACTTCATTTGGATTCCTTGTCGTGCGATATTTTTGACATCAATTTTAAACTTCTGTCTTCTATTCTCTCACAGATGGTGAGGACACGCACTACTCGAGATGATCAGGCACCCGCGCCCGCTGCTGCCGTCGCCAGAGGCCGGGGTAGAGGTCGAGGACGCGTACGTGGTGCAGCCAAGGCACCTGCACGGGCTGCCGCCGAGGTACCACCAGCAGATCCAGCCGGAGCCCAGGCACCTGGCACACCTACTACTGCCACTACTACTCCAGCGCTCCAGGAGACTTTGGCTCAGTTCATGAGTATGTACACCACCTTGGCTCAGGCGGGGTTGCTTCCCCTCGCTGCAGCCACATCCCAGGCCGGGGAGGAGCACAGACTCCCGCTGTCCGCACTCCTAAGCAGCGAGTGCAGGTTGAGTAGGTTCCCGAGATTATTCCCCCACCGCCTGCAGTGCTAGTTCAGCCCGAGGATGGGTCAGCTGCTTCAGAGGACGAGCAGCGGAGACTTGAGAGGTTTAAGAAATATGATCCCCCAGTGTTCAGTGGCTTAGCATCAGACGATGCCTTGGGATTTCTAGAGGAGTGTCATCGTATTCTTCGCACTATGGGCATAGTGGAGTCCAGCGGGGTTTCTTTCACTGCCTTTCAGCTTCGGGGAGCTGCCTATGATTGGTGGCGCACTTATGAGTTAGACAGTCCAGTCGAGGCTGCTTCACTGACTTCGACCCAGTTCTCGGACATGTTTATGAGAGAGTTTGTTCCCCAGAGCCTCAGAGATTCATGGCGCGCAGAGTTTGAGCACTTCCACCAGGGTGCTATGACAGTTTCAGAGTATGCCATCTGTTATACCAGGCTGGCCAGGCATGCACCGGCTTTGGTTGCTACAGTTCGGGAGAGAGTGCGGAGGTTTATCGAGGGTCTTATTCCGCCCATCCGGTCCAGCATGGCCCGAGAGTTAGAGATGGATATTCCCTACCAGCAGGTAATGAGCATTGCTAGACGGAATGAGGGTATGCTCGCCAGGGAGCGAGGGGAGAGGGAGGCCAAGAGGTCTCGAGAGTTGGGTCATTACTCTGGTGCCCGTACTTCATCAGCCGGATGTTATGGTAGGGGTTATTCTGGTCGCCCTGTTCATTCAGCCTTGCCAGCAGCCGGTAGTACTCCAGCTCCACCAGCACCTCAGGAGCCTTACTATGCACCTCCAGTTTCTAGCGCGCCTCCTGCGTGAGGTGCTTCCAGAGGTCAGTCCAGCAGGCCTAGTCACAGCCAGTCACAGCCACCGCGTCCTCCCAGAGCTTGCTTTGAGTGTGGCGATACACGTCACTTGGTTAGGGACTGCCCCAGACTTGGTAGGGGTGCATCTTCACAGACTGCTCAGCCACAGCGTGCTCCTCAGAGTTCTCAGGCCCATGATCGACAGCTCCAGCGGCTACCCCGACTGCTCAGCCGGCTAGGGGCGAGGTCNGAAATAGACAAAGTAACCACAAGACTTTGATTGTAACTAAATTGAGCATTCAAACAAACCAAATTAAAAGCAATGTGATCTCTAAAAACTAACAGTGAACAACTGAAAACACGAAATATTTCGCAAAACAGAATTTGGATGAGCATCGCTTAATTATCATACAACGATTAACAACGAGCTCTTATGATATGAACTAACAAGCGATTCACAACTAATATTACCATAGTTTAATTAACCTATAAATACTACTAACAAAATTATGAACAAAGATTAAACTTTAAAACTAAATCCAAAGTACACGCTGAAAAATCAGAAACGGGAAAGGGGAGACGGGTTGAAGATTTACCGAAAACTCGAGCACACAGGCAGCGGTGAAACAATGGCAGCGATGGTGGTGATTCGATCCGGGACATGGTTTTATTGTTGATTGATACCAAAATCCTAAATCAGATGAGCTGAATCTCGATTTCGGTATAATCGACAATAAAATCATGTCAGAGTCGATTGGAGGCGAGAACGGGAAGGAGCGCTGGAGGCAGCGGCGGTGTTAGGCAGTCAGTGGTGGTTGCCGAAATCCAGTCACCAGATTTTCGGCACGAAACCAATGCCAAATAGTAGCCCCCATTGAGTTATACCCATTTATGTGAAAATTAGGTGAAAAGAAGGGCTCAATCATCCCAAATTTATGGAAAAAGCGACGGCTAGGGTGTCCTAGATCTAAAATTCGTGGTGTTTGATGGGGTTTTGAAGGATTTGGTTTGAAGATATGGAAATAGGAGGTTGAGGAGAGTGTATGATGATAATTTGGGGTTGTTTGGACCACCACCGGCGGCGGCGCACGGTGGTGGCAATGGTGGAGCGACGGCGGCTTAAGAGAGGGTAAGAGAGAGGAGAGAGTGAATGAGAAGTCTCTAGGGTTTGGAAATAGGGCAAAAATCTGATTGGGCTTTTAGTTTAATGTTTCTATTCAGTGGACGTGGTTATTGGCAAGAACTTATTGAATCCATCGTTTGGGCTCATAATAAATTAAAAGTTGCTCCTGCTACTCAGCCGAGAGCCTTGAGCATTATACAAGGACGTGCTGTAGGAGTAACCCATTACCTTCTGGGTGGAATTGCCACAACATGGGCATTCTTCTTAGCAAGAATTATTGCAGTAGGATAATGGCTAGGAGGATTTGAAAAGCATTATGGCATTACGATTTCCAAGGTTTAGCCAAGGCTTAGCTCAGGACCCCACTACTCGTCGTATTTGGTTTGGTATTGCTACCGCACATGACTTCGAGAGTCATGATGATATTACTGAGGAACGTCTTTATCAGAATATTTTTGCTTCTCACTTCGGTCAATTAGCAATAATTTTTCTGTGGACTTCCGGAAATCTGTTTCAATTTTTTTTGCTTTTATATTTTAGTTAGGGATAAATTTTGACCATCAGATTAATGTGGAATGGATGGCCATGATGGATTGTCATTTACTTAACCAAAATGACGTAGTTTTGTCTTGAAACTACGTCGTTTTAAATCCTCCCATGCCAACCCCTTGTCTTGCACTCTTGGCCACTTTCTCTTTCAAACTTGGCCCAATTTCTTCCTTAATCCTACTTATTAAACTAAATTCACACAAATAAATAAATTAATTAATTAACTTATTGAAATGATCAATTAACTAGATTAATTCACCAATTGAACAATTAGTTACTTCCTAAAAATGCAAAAATGAAAGAAAAAAAAAAAAGAACTATCTTTTGGTATTTTATTATAGGAATTATGCAATTAACGCAACAAAAATTGAGAAAAACAATTAAAATAATAAAATATTAATGACTTTACGAGGTGTTAAAATAATACAAAAATTAGATGCTCACAAAAGGAGCCGAAGAAAATCACATCAGAGCAAAATGTTCTTAATATTTGTAGAACTACTTTTGACTGTTTCTCAAGTCAGTGCAGATTTTTTAATAGTCAATACGACTATACTTCACAGTGCAATTGAAAAGGGAGCCGGTAAGAATTTAATTTTGAATTATAGAAAAATAAAACTTAAAACTAATTAATATTATTTTACTGTTTTGTATGGTAATAATTAATTTCAGTTTGTTTGGACGGAAGTGCTCCTGCGTACCTGATTGATAGGGGAAGTGACTATGGAGTTAATAATTGAGAAAATCTCACTTTATACCCATTAAATTAAAACCTTAAATATCCATACCTAAACTATTTACTTTTCCTACCTATGCAATCAATACTATTTACCCGCCCAGATGGTTTAATAATTGTAATTGCGAACTGAATCAGGAGTAAAGCTTATTGCTAAAAGAAATTCCAATCCAACTTCAACAAGAATGGGTAGGTGATCGACTAGATGAAATTTGCTGTTTCAAATAATAACGAGTCTCAAATTTTAAAGATTCCTTTTTCACGCAAAACTTAGTTTAAAAGACGAGTTAGGTTCTTCTATTTTTTGTTCTCCCTTTTGGTTCTTTTTCTTTTATTCACTTTTTATTCAATTAGTTAATTTTGTTCCTGACAAAGTCAAATTTATATATTTTTAAAGAGAAAATTGGCATGCAGCCGAACTTGAGGCATTCGTATAAATAGGCATTCGGTGTATTCACAAGGTTGAAATCGAGCACGTTGAACTTCTTTAGTATCTTTTTTCTATAGTTTTCTTAACTTAATAGATAAAAGTTATATATTTTTGGAGATTTATTGTACAAAAATTTAAATTCACCATTGACGGACCTTGAAGCTTGAAACTCATAATTTTTAATTATTTTGATCCGATCCTGTATGGGTTAGTTTGGAAAGTTGATTGGAGGTTGTAACTAAAGTTTAAGTCAATTTGGTGGAGATTTTGTAGTAAATTTTAGAAATTTGGGTTGAAATATAGTTGAACCAGAGAAGAAGACGAATTTGTATTGTATACCCAAATAGTATACAAATATACCATTTTAGTATACAATTCATTCCAACTATATACCCTATTAGTATATCTATATACTATATTGGTATCATATGCTAGTTGAATTATTTTTTGGTTGTATTAGCTGCATTTAATTGGTACAATATTTGATTTTCTTTTAATAATAGTAATATAGTACAATATCTTGAAATAACTTATTATATTAATATGTGGTACATTATTTTTTTATTTTTCTCTTTATGCATGTGTGTTATGTAATAGTATTATAGTCATATAGTTGCCGGGAATTAACTAGTAAAACTGTATACCATGTTGGTATAGTTATATGCCATATTGGTATCATATGGTAGTTTGAACATTGTTTTGGTTGTTTTAGCTGTATTTTAAGTGAATTCTATTATGAAATTATTTATATCAACATGAGTTGCAATAATGCTGGAATTTTTATGTGCCGATGGACATAAATTATGTGTATTAATAGTTTTTATAGTTATAGGCAATTGTTGGAACGACCCCATACAACTATATACCCTCTTAGTATACGAAATGAGCAAGTTGTTTTGCGAATATTTAGCTTGCAATACGAGCATGTAATTTTCTCATACTTTTATTGCGTCCTTTAATGTTTTGGTAGAGTAGTATAGTCGCAGATAGTTGTAGCAATATTCTAGAGAAATCATATGCTCTGTTGGTATACATATATACCATATTGGTATCACATGGTACTAGAAGTCTTTTTCGCTACTTATACTTTTGTTGTATTTTTTAATATTTTATTATCATTTTTATTCTAACTAGTATATATGGAGATTTGGTTGCCGTAGATTATGTTTTCTTGCTCTATAACTGGTTGTATTACTGCTAATGGTAGAGTGTGTATTGATATTTATAGGGAAGGAGATCAAGGTTTGCATGGCAATCACGTGTTGATTCTTAGAATCTGATTATGTAATTTATGGTGCTCAACAGCAGTCAATATGATATTCAGTATATTAGACCAAGTGACAACTGATATTATTTCAGTTTAATAATTGAATTTAAAAAATGAGAAAGAAAAAAAAAGGTATATTGTACTAGTTATATTAAAAAAAAGGTGAACAAATATTTACTATATCAATTATTTTTCTTATTGTATAAAAAAAATAAAAAATAGTAAAAACGTTAAATGAAATTAGATTATGAAGAGAAAAAGAATATAAAAAAAACAAGAAGTTAAATGAAATTAGAAAAGGAAAAAAAAAATAAGAAGAAAACGAGAAAAAAGAAAAGCAGAAAAGAAAAAAAAAGAAAAGAAGCATAGAAATAAAAAAGAATTGGAGAATAAAGAAAAAAATTCCCCACAAAAACTATTATGGGTAGGAAATGTAATTAGTTTATGGGTAGAAAAATAAATGGGTAGACAAGGGCAAATAGTTTTGTTTTTATGGGTAGATGTGTCAAAACCCCCTTAATAATTGGCTTATTCACATTGAGGTTAGAGTTAAACTTTTCATTCTGTTTTTTTTTTAAATTAATTTATTTAAATTTTATATAGCGTAAAAAAAAATTCAGGGAGGGGATGGTGTTCTACGATCTCAGAGTGCATCGAACGTACCGGTACTAGGTATGGATCATCAATACACATGGAGGATCAATATTATTTTCAAGGAATTTTAAGCAACAAGCCTAACGAAAATCCAGGTAGTTATTAGGTTACATGCCAAAAAATATATATTTTATTTTTTTCACGTTGAGATATTCTTAGAATTCCTATCTAATAAAAATGTAATGTTGTTAAAATCTTTAGACCTTTTTAACTGGAACAGAGTAAAGGTTAAGTATTGCGATGGGGCATTTTTTACGGGTGACGTTGAAGAAGTTGACCCAGTAAATACAAATATTTTTTAAATATTAGCGCTAGAAATTTTTTGTTAATTGTAGTAACTTTTCTGTATTGAAAATGACTTTTTTTTTTTATTATTAATTAGGTTACAGGGCTCCACTTCAGAGGGGCAAGAGTTTTCCTTGCCATCATGGAGGATTTATTATACAAAGGAATGTGGAAAGCTGAAAATGTATATTTTTTATAAATTTATTTGGAAAAAGAACTCTTTTATCCCGAAATTAATATGCTATTGACGTCAACTTATATGTAAGTCACGTCGACTGTCACTTAATTGGTACTAAAAGGACAGTCCGGTACACTTATAAACTCCTGCTATGCGGGTGGTTTGGGGAAGGACTAGACCACAAGGATCTATTGTATTTGTACGCAGTCTTACCCTGCATTCTGCAAGAGGTTGTTCCACGGCTCGAACCCGTGACCTCCTAATTACATGAAAACAACTTTACTAGTTACGCTAAGGTTCGCCTTCAACTAATTGGTACTATAATAGAAATAGAAATCAACGAAATAACAGTTTTAACTTCTTCCTTTATATAATTTCATGTTAGGCCATTTTGAGTGGAAATTCAGCAGGGGGATTAACTGCAATACTACATTGTGACAAGTTTAGAAGTTTTTTCTCCACAAATGCTAGAGTAAAATGCATTTCTGATGCTGGTTTCTTTGTAAATATGTAAGTTTTATTCATGAAACGTGAGAACTTTTGTTATATATAATTAACATCATTGTTAATTACTGATTCTTAATTATATGATTTTATGGAGAAAAACAATCCTAGGGGAACCACATATTGAGCAGCTATATGAAAGAGTTGTTACATTGCCCGTAAGACGTTTTTTATTATTAATTTAATTTATTGATATACTTTCTATATATATATATAGAGAGAGAGACTGTGTCTGTGTTTTGGGATTTAATTAGGGATCAAGCAAGAACCTGCCACGATCTTGCACCAGCTCCTACTTAGATCCAAGTTTGGTAAGATAAAGTAATTTCTTCGTGGAAGAAAACTGCCCCCTTTATTTATTTATGTATTTTTAAAAATTTGGTTTATTTTTATTTTTTGTACAACTTTTCACTAATACACAATACGATGATTTGGCAGTGCTTCTTCCCTGAATATGTAGTACAACATATTCGGACACCACTTTTCGTTATTAATTCTGCTTATGACTCTTGGCAGGTTAGAAATATATATTCGTTGTTACTATTATTTATTTATTATAACCAAATTGTTTTTATTTCTTTTATTTCCCTTAGGATTATAAATGGGTTTTCCTTTTGATTGATCTTTAAAAATATAGATAAACAACAGTTTGGTTCCTTATAATGAGTGGACATATTGCAAGAAAGACATAAATATATGCTCACCAAGTCAAATCCAAACTCTCCAAGGTCAGTACCAATTCAAGGGGTTAATTAATATTATTCTCTTTTAACCTAATTCATGTGATAAAATTAAAAGAGGCAGGCAAATAATCCTCTCGTACAGCTTGTTTGGATGGTTGTTACATGTTGTTTGTACTATATTGTTATTTTAAATACACGATTAGTTTTGATTGTTACTTAAATTTTATTATATATGTCGTAAGTCCGTCGTTACGTAATGATGAAAAGTGTCACTTTATGGAACGATCGATTTGGGATAGTTGCGTCGTTTTCTTATTTTTTTTCTTTCATTTTCCCTTTCCTTATATATTATAAAGTAATCTTATTTTTCTTTGACCCTATACTTTTTTTTTATGTAATAAGTCTACCTCGCACCTTACTTTTTCTTTATATACATTACAAGTTTATTCTTCATGTTATTGGTGCATGATATCTTGACACGACGACAAACAATACAATCTATCCAAATATTATATACATCAAAACGATACGGTGCAGTACAATACAATAATATACGATACATAACAACTATCCAAACAAGCTATTCGTTTAATTAAAACTCTCTCCCTCTCCCTCTCTCTATATATGATGATCTTGAATTATTGTTTTCAGATGGGTAATATTTCTAAGGGCAGTTATAAATGGAATAAGACCAACTTCACCAAGTGGATATTTTATAACCTCCTGCCATTCCCACAAAGGCATTGAAACACCCAGCTATTGGTTCTACCCCAACTCTCCAATATTGGCTGATAAGGTCCATTTCCCTTTTTGTTTTTTCTAAAATTATCCCAATAATTCTTTTGACGATTAGTGAGACTAACTACTTACTATAATTTATATATATTGTACAGAAAATTGCTCAAGCAGTTGCCGAGTGGTTCTTTGTCGAGAGTAGTAAATTCCAAGAGATATCTTGCCCTTATCCTTGCGGAAAATTTTGCCAAAGCTAGGAACTTGAAGAGAATGTTCATATTGTACGAGTATTTCTGATATTTTCTTAGTGATTAATCCACTCATGTATTTGTGGAAAGTACCAAGTCACTTGAGGTCGCTTAAAATTGTTATTCAAACTTTATCATGTTATCGTAAGTTGGTATATATATTTGTTTTATATTTTAATTTCTAGAACACTTGGTCTTTCTCTTTAAATTTTAGTGGTCGAGCTAGCTATTAGTGGGGAGAAATTTTACTTTGAGTCTCACATGCCATGTCATACTTGTGTGAAACTCTCCAAAGCTGGACATTTGGACTAACGGGTCCCACTTTTACCTCCATTTTTCTCTCTCTTCTAATTGGTCTTTCTCATCCCGAACAACCCATTTTAATTTTTCTTTTTTTTACTCTACCAGAAAATTCTCCTTCACTCTCCACATCAAAATTCCAAAATATCTCTGTGTACATCCTTAGCCAAAAATTCGTTTTCTCGCTCTTTTAGTTCTCCCCACACCAGTTTTTAAAAGAAATGAAAGCATTTCATAAAATCACAAAGCTTTTCATCTAAAACTAGCCGCAGCTAAATTGGTAAAGTAGTTTAATTAGATTTTTTTGCAGTAAAATTGATATCCTTAAGATTGTTCATCATTATTTGGTAAAAAACAAAAAGCTAGAAACATGGAGATTTTGTTTAAGGATACCAAAAAAGGCCAATTCTAACTCTTAACAGATTTCGTACCCACAGTTACTCAATTAATATTGCGTTGCTCTAACTGTTTCGTGGTGGGTTCTTTCAGGCGATGAAAAAAAATTTCTTTAAAAAAAAAATCAATCTACATACTTAAAAAGATAGCATTAACAATTAGTTAATAATAATTTGAAATTACATTTGAAATGGAGAAAATTAAACGGAGAAGTAGAGAACCAAAGTTGACAGGGGAGGAAAAATAGGCTAGAGTAACTTTTTCACCCTAAGTTGTTCCATTATCCCCTTCACAAACTTTAAACCCATTTCCAGTAAATCCTTTTTTCATTGTCACACATATTATTCCCCAAGAGCTGTTGTTTCTTCTACACAGACGAGTTTTGTGCTAAGAAAAAATAAAGTGATGTCTTGGGATTTGATGTTGAGAGTGAAGAAGAATTTTCTGGTAGAGAAAAAAAAAAGAAAATTAAAAGGGGCTGTTTGGGATGAGAAATACGAATTAGAAGAAAGAGAAAAATGGTGTTAAAAGTGGGACCCATTAGTCCAATTGTCCAACTTTGGAGAGTCTCACACAAGTATGACATGGCATGTGAGACACAAAGTAAAATTTCTCATTAGTGGGGAATAAAAGATTTCTAAACATCCCAAAATTGACATGAGCAAATTGTGGCAGAGCAAGAAAAACAAAGCTGGCACAAATTGACATTCCCTCCTTCCATATTCATGACCACAACTTTAAGAGCAGATGAGGAAAAAAAAAGACAAAAACCAAGAATCCGATCGGAACTCCTGACAAAACCATTTTATCCAATATAAATCGCCACGCGTGCTCGCACGTGTTAGGACCGGAAAAAGTCAGGTGTCATGCGAAAGCTAGCAAAGCAAACGTTGAGCGACGATAAATCCAACAACAAAAGAGAAATCTACCAAAAAGACACAAACATATAACGTGGTTCAGTCAACTGACCTACGTCCACGGCGGGGATGAGCAATCCACTATATAAAAAAGAGTAGTACAAAATATCGAGAGAACAACCTCACGAAGAGGCAAACACAAGTGGCACACTAACACTTGTCCCGTAATAAAGTTCTCCCCCTAAACACGACTCTCAAACCCCATGTGGCTACATTGTGGATGCTACTGAATGAGAAGGAAGGATCCTCAATTTATAGAAGTCCAAACCTTTTCCTACAAGAAAAAGGACTAGCCAAATATAGGAGAATTGTAATTTCCTTCTACAACAAGGAAAATCCCAGTTATGGTAAATATGTTGTCCTTTCCTTCATGAAATAGGAAAACCAATTATGGTAAAAAAATCTGGACAAACACCTAACAATTCTCCCCCTTGGCCTGAATTTTCTGACAAAATAAACTTGATGCACCTTCTTCACATAGCCTTCAACAGGTCGCATCTCCAAATCTCCGCCACAAAGTTTGTCTCATCGTGCGTGGCACTCCGGTTAAATTTCTCAGACAAAAATCACGATTATCGTCAAATATGTTGCAGCTAGAACTGAACACGCCAAGATGAACCTGTCTTGAACCTCGCTCTGATACCACTTGTTAGGACCGGGAAAAGGTCATTTTATGTTTGCTTTTTACCATTAATCATTAATTTTCCTTTTATTTTTCAAAAATTTCCCCAGGGACTTGCTCATTATATATTTATTTATACAGGCTATTGCTCAAGCAGTTGGTGAGTGGTTCTTCGTTGAGAGTATTAGATTTCAAGAAATATCTTGTCCTTATCCCTGTGGAAAATTGTCACGACCCAAAATATAACCTTGGTCATGATGACGCCTATCGTGTTATAAGGCAAGCCTATTCCCAAAATATTACTACTAATTTGATTATAAGAATTTAATAAAATATTTCCAATAATTTAATTCCTTATAAACTAAACCAACTCTAAATATAAATAATATAAAATACGAAAACGAATCCCAAACAGTGGGGTGTTACTAAGTCATGAGCGTCTAAAACTATGAACTAAGATATATAACTGTCTAAAAGAAGAAATGATAAAAGGAGTAACAAGGTCCTGCGGACGATGGCAAGTACCTTGAAATCTCTACAGATAGCCAGCTTGAACTAAACGAACTCACCTGGATCTGCACATAAAGTGCAGGGTGTAGTATGAGTACAACCACCTCAATTATTTATTTATCACAATTTTAAAAATAACAGGAATAAACGGGTAAATTCCATAACTCAGTAAATGCCACAAAGAAATTTAACAGATAAATGCAGCAATATCAAAAGTAAATGCAACCTCACAACAATGTCCTCCATCACTCAGCACTCGCACTCAGCACTCAACAATCAACACTCAATACACTCAACACTCTGCGCTCACTGGGGGTGTGTACAGACTCCGGAGGGGCTCCCAAAGCCCAAGCGCTAAGCACGGACAACTCACGTGCTACCATATCAATACCTGGATCCGTACGGTTAACTCACGTGGTAAGCGGACAACTCACGCGCTATGGTATCAATACCTGGACCCGCACGGTCAACTCACGCGCTACGCGGACAACTCACGCGCTATGGTATTAATATCCTCACAACCAAGCACTCGGCCTCACTCAATCATGTACCGCACGGACAACTCACGTGCCATCATATCAATAAATAAGGGAACACAACCCACATCAAGTATCACATCATATTAGCAGATATTAGAGACTGAGGTAAACAATAATTTCTATGACTGAGTATAATTAATGTGAGCATGAATAAAGCTTAAACATGATCTCTAACAAGAAGGCAAACAAGTTCAACAACAAGTAAACACATAACCACAGATAATAGCCATTAGGCCTCACAGCCTCACGAGACGGACGAATTCTCAATCCCTCGCGGTGCACACCCACACGCCCGTCACCTAGCGTGGGTATCACCACCAAACAAGCACACGATATCAATTTCTCCGGGTTTATACCCTCAAAGCCAGAGTTAAAACTGTTACTTACCTCAACAGAGTAAAATCCTACTCCGGGATGTCCTCGTCCCTGGACTCGGTCTCCAAAAGCTCCGAGTCTAACCAAAATCAGAATAATACTATCAACATAGTTTAAAGAATCGAATTACACAATAAAAACAACATAAACATGCCAAAAATCCGAAATCGGCCAAAACTCGGCCCCCGGGACCACGTCTCGGAATCAGTCAAAAATAACATAATAATAATCCTCGTCCTCTCCCGAGTCTAACCATATAAAACTTGTCAAAATCGAACTCCGTTTGGTCCCCCAAATCCTCACTTAAAACTCTCCAAAACTCAAACCCTAACTCAATTTCACTTTGAAATCATCAATCAAATCTCAAAAATGAAGATGGATTCATAAATTATAATCAAAGTCGAGTAGATAACACTTACCCAATCCATACGGTGAAAATTGCCTCAAAAATCGCCCAAATCCGAGCTCCCCAACTCAAAATATGACCGAATGAACAAACCCTTATTTTGTATATTTTTCTGCCAGCTATTCTGCCTCGTTTCTCATGCCAAACAATCCCGAAACTCATATTTTATGCCTTCAATAGATTCCTTGTGAAATTCTAGTCAAGTTAGGCTTTTGAATCACTCAATTTGACCTTATAACAAAGGAGATATATAGGTTTTAATATTTGCAAATAGTGCAGATTTTTAAATACGCCGTCAGTGGAAATTTCGTTATTAAACTGAAAAATCTGGCAACCTAATTCTTAGTAAAATGACCATAAAATCCTCATACGATATCCAAATTCGATGATTCTTTTTGCTACAGGTCCGTAATTACAATACGGATCTAATGCTTCAATCAAAAAAGAAATTAGAGCTCATTTGTTCAATATGATATCATTTATGCTTGAAGAAACGGCGTCAAAACATATGAAAAACGAGCGCAACACAACCCAAACCTATTCAAAACTCATCCGAGGCCCTCGAGACCTCAACCAAAAATTCCAACAAGTCATATATCACTACCCCAACTTAGTCGAACCTCCGAAACATCCAAAACAATACCAAAACACCAAATAAACCTCGAATTCAAGCCTAAGAACTTCTAAACTTTCAACTTTCGCCAATTCAAGCCTAGTTCTACCACAGACCTCCAAATTATATTCCGGACACACTCCTAAGTCCAAAATCACCGAACAAAGCTAATCGAATCATAAAAATCCAAATCCGAATTCTTTAACTCATAAGTCAACTTCCGGTTGACTTTTCTAACTTAGCTTTCTAATTAAGAGACTAAGTTTTCATTTCACTCCAAAACTACTCCGAACCCAAACCTACCAACTCGATACAACTCAACACAGCTGAACAACATATAAATAAGCATAGATGGGGGAAATGTCGCTATA